CTCCTTTTTTTGAATCTTGCATTTCGTTAAATCCTAAATAAAATGTTCTTATTCCAATAAAATACATAATATTTTACATGATGTTGACATCTTTCTTTAAGTTGAATAAAATGACATAAAAGAATCATCATCCTAGACTATTGCCATCTGCAAAATTCATGCTAGAAGATGATGACGAATGAAAACGACATGATTGTTTCGATCATCATTCAAAGCAATTATCTCGTATAAGAGACAAAATAAGACTCGAATATCACTTGAAATTTGTGATTCGCACGCTTATTTGACGATTCTCTTTAATGTCTTCAACAAAAAAAAACACTCTTCGACTTAAAATAATATTGATCGATATCACTGAGATGCCTTGAAACATGCATTGGCTATAGGTTTCCTTCACTGTTGTCACTTCGTTCGAACTCATCGATAAATGCTGTGTGTAAGATGTTGACAATTGCTGTCCCTAGTTACCAATGACTAAATGTTCAAATAGAATTTTAACATGAGGACTTTGCTTGCAGTAAATTATTGATACTTTTTTCTGGGACATGTAACTTTTTGGAATGACATGAACTTTTTTTTATCTACTTTTCAAGGTGGCATGTGTGCATCTCGAGACGTCACAGATGTCTGAGCACTAATATAGTTATTTCACTTCAGATAAAATTATGTGACTTGATTCATTCGACTCTCAGCAGTCTGGATGCCTAAAGCAAAGAGCAGCTGTCGTCATATTCGATTTTATTCAGACAATTCATAGTTGAAAAATTTATCAAATAAGCTGTAATTCATAATGTAACACTTCGGTGTTCTAAGGATGATTGTTGTCATAGCAACCGTAAGATTTTCGACAGTTCCTATGTGAATGTGGATTGTAGGTGTGAGTACGGTTTTTGTGTGTCGATGGATGATAGGAAGATTGACAATAAGACATGTGCCCTCACCTTCATTAATGTTTCTCTTATGATCTATCATGACATACCAGAGACTGTTGAAAAATATCAGTAACTATCAACGCCTATATCACTTTTATGCTGACAGATTGACAAAACGTTTTAAAACTCTCATACTGTGACATTTCTATCCAATAAGTAGTAAGTCACGGACATTGCATGAAGCGATTTTCTTAAGTAAATATGAGTATTAATTAATAAACAAGTGTGTATTTATCGTAATTATATGAATATCAAATCTCATGGATTTGAAAATAGAAAAAAACTTCAATTTTTTCTCTTGCCTTTTCTTTTTCGATATTTTTTTGAGTATGAGTAGGTTATACCTTTATTTCATGTGCATGACTCATTATGTGTAAATCGCTCGTGCACATTATTTTGTGCGGAACGTGCGCTTTTTGTGTAGATTCGTTGGCAATAGAGTTTATACTAAGCAAAGATAAAAGAAAAGAATATCATGAAAAATGACGAGCGGTAAGAAATGGATAAAGATGGTTTGTTACAAAGGTAAAAAAACAAATCAATCGATAAAATAAGCAAGCAGTGTTACCTACACAAAATCAAGCCTAATTGGAAGATTTTCAACACAAAATATTTCTTGATATATTGCTTCTGTTGATTTTGTTGTGGTGAGTAACTTATTAGAATAATGTTAAAAGCATAAACAAGTTTATTAAATCATGTACACATAGTATCAATATGATCTATACATCAGACACGATTGATTGATAATCATTTGTTAGTTAACATCTATTCATTGACAATATTTATGTGTTACAGACTTAGTTTGATTCTTCTTTTCCGAATGCTATACACCATATTTAGTTAATTAATACAGTATATTGAACTCACAGCATAATCTCATAAAGATTTGGATAAAAAAAGCTTATAAAAGAGCGATCGGCACATGATAGTAAAATCTGCATACCAGTGTTGATGGACGTGAAAACCTTCGCATCTTTCAGTACTGTCTCAGAGCCAGTCTTAAATGTTGCGCAGTACAACAATAAAAACTGAGACTAAAATACTTTGTTCTATAGCACAAAGTATCAATGTGAGTGGTGTTTGCATGATTGGGAATTCGAATTGACCCTTTCTTAAGTTACGACAACAGTTTTCAACCAACTTGCTTGAAAAAACCTTGTAGTGATGCTTGCAAATGAAAGAGTAAGACTGGAAAGAGTTGTATAGTCATAAATGTTGAGCAGACTCATTGTGAAGAATAAATGGAGTTTTGCTTGCGTAATTTTGTTTTACTAGTACCTCCTTACGGGGAATTTCTACAAACCGAGGTGATCTCTATTTCCAGGCGACGTCCCACGACTAAGACATTATAGTTCTTTCACAAATATTCAAAACGAAATGCATTCGTTTTTTCCATCTAGATGACAACAACTAGTCTATATTCTGTTGATTCTCTTAATATCAGCAATGATGATCACCTTGAACTATTCAGTCTTATTTGGCTTGATACTAAAGTTCACATTGAAAGGAATCAAGACACGCAACGAAGACTGCGTCCTATCATCAATCATCTCAAGAAATTTGAAGATGTTGAAGAATGCAAGCAATACATAGAGCAAAGACCAAAGCATAACCGACTAGTGTTGATCGTTGGCAGTCAGTTGGGTCAACAAGTGATACCTTCGATTCATCAACTTCGACAAGTTTCAACAATCTATGTTACTTCTACAGATACGGAGAACGATCATCAATGGGCACAGGAGTTCATCAAGGTAAGACTTTTCAGGAAAGTTTCAGTCGTATGAGATCACCGATTTAGGTGCAGGTTATTGTTGATGAACCAGAAGTACTGATTTTTCGAATCAAAACAGATTTTAAGAATAGTATGCCAATGCAAGAACCATTGTCGATCAACATGTTCACTACAAGTGACGATGCAGGAAAGTCTACAACAGGTATCAATGGTCAATTCGTTTTTTATCAATTACTTATCGATTGTATTCTTCGACTAAAATCCAATGAGATGGACAAAAGAGAACTTATTGCTTGTTGTGAACATGAATACAAAGATAACCGTGTTGAAATCGACAATCTGCGTGAATTTCAAAAGGATTACACATCTGACAAAGTTTTGTGGTGGTACACTCGTGAATCGTTCTTCTACAAAACTCTGAATGCAGCTCTACGCAAGCAAAATATCCATATGATTTTCTTGTATCGCACATTCATTGCGGACATATATCACCAATTGCAATCTTATCAATCTCAAAACTATGTTCGAGTTTATCGAAGTCAGTTGATGTCAATGGAGGAGCTAGATACTCTCAAACAAAACATTGGTCAGTTCATTTCTGTAAATTCATTTCTTTCCACCAGTACGCAATATCGAATAGCTGAATTCTACATTGACAATAGGACCGAACAGGTTAGTTTGGAACGAGTTCTATTCGAGATTGATGCTGATCCTGTAGTGGTTTCAACGAAACCATTTGCTAACATCAGCACCCTTAGCCAATTTACTGAAGAATCCGAGGTACTATTTATGCTTGGTTCCATATTCCATCTCAACTCTATTAGTTGTGGTGAGGATCAAATATGGACAGTAAGAATGACATTGTGTGGTGATGGCGAACATAATTTGAAGACAGTTCTTGCTGACATGAAGAAGCAAAATTACACCAAAAAGACGACACTGCAGACGCTAGGCAAGTTATTATGGACGATGGGTAAACTTGATCTGGCTGAACAGTATTACAGTCGTTTTCTAAACGAACTTTCGGCGAATGAACCTTTAGATCCCAGTTTATATGAAGACCTGGGTTTGATTGCTTCGCAGCAAGGTGACTATGATAAATGTATGCTATGGCGTCAAAAGTCACTTGAGACTAGAGAGCAAATCGCGCAATCTGATAGTATCGAAAAAGGTGAGACGACTAAAACTAATTATTTGTAGATTTCATCAACGATGAACAATCCCTATTTACTGACAGGTCCATAGTAATAGCAATATTTTCTCAAGAATAAGGATATAGATGGTAGTCTTCTATTCTGGTATCCTCACCCCGTTGAAAATGTAGATGTTGTTGGAAAAACTATGATTAATGTAACGCGATGGGCATATTTTGAACGGTGAAGGTGCTATGTTCTCTTTAACACATTGGTGAGGCGTAAAGCTTAGGAAGAAAAAACTTGTATCGACTACTCGTTAAGCAAACATTGTGGTTTTGTTAGAGGGAGTTCACAAAATCAACCGACTTCCAGGTCTTATGTGATATAGATGCATGAACGGTAATTTTATTGACTCGAAAGATAACTTTTTTTTTCAAGGCTGATTCTGTAATGATATATTTACAGAATTAATTTATATTTAGCGTTTTTTTCGAGCTACGAATATGGACGTAGGTGCGTGCGTGTATCTTTCATCCACCTATAACCATACCAACACCCTCCTTTTTGTTATTGCTGATATATAAAAGAAAATGTTTCAGATCATGTATTTTACTCATTTGAATCTTCAGTTTTTCATGATTGAGTATAGTTAAGAATTGAAATTAGGACATATTATTACCTGTAATCTAAATTTTTTCGTGTATTTAACGTTTGAAGTCTTTGAAAATAGAAAGAAACAATATTTTTTTTAAATGATAACAAGCTAATTTTTCCTGACATACATTTGACCCTATCTTGTGTAGGAAGAGACACTGGCACGAATGCTTTTAGGATTTTCTTAGTCTCATCACATACATACCTTTTTTAAATTTCGTAAGAGACGTTTTTTTGCCTAGCTTGTGTTAGGAGAGACTGCTTTGAACATTTTCAAACATTATCTCGAAGAATAAACCCTCATTCGAAACTCTTTCATACAAGAGATGGCAATTACTTTCTTTTTCGTTTATTGAAGTGATTCCCAATATTCTAAACAATGAGCGACGGAAACAAAATGGAGTCACCGTTGCTGGAGGCCAAGGGTTGGGCGATGATACCAATCAACTCAAGGGCCCGTATGCTGTTTACGTTGAGGATGATCAAACAATAGTGATCGCTGACTACTGGAATCATCGTATCGTTCAATGGAAAATGAACGAAATGAATGGTCAAGTTGTTGCTGGTGGGCGTGGCCGAGGAAAGCAATTAAATCAACTCTGTTTTCCAACTGACGTGTTGATCGACAAAAAGACGAATGATCTCATTATTTCTGATCGAGGAAATCGACGAGTTCTACTATGGTCTCGTCGTAGTGGCACTGTCAAAGGTCGAATCCTCCTCCGCAATATCCGTTGTCGAGGATTGGCCATGGATAATCAGGGATCTCTCTATATCTCTGACAACGATAAACATGAAGTAAGACGATATTACGTGGGAGACAAATTTGGAACTATTGTGGCTGGTGGCCATGGCAAAGGTGATGGTCTCAATCAACTCAACTGGCCAACCTTCATCTTTATCGATCAACAACAGGCTATCTACGTGTCGGACAATGAGAATCATCGTGTAATGAGATGGAATAAAGGTGCTAAAGAGGGCATTGTTGTTGCTGGAGGTCAAGGCGAAGGAAAGGCTTTGACACAATTGTCATATCCTAAAGGGTTGTTTGTCGATCACTTGGGTACCATCTATGTGGCAGACACGGGAAATCATCGAGTGATGCGTTGGTCTAAAGGAGCCAAACAGGGCACTGTTATTGCACGTGGTACAGGGACAAGTAAACTATACTATCCCGAAGGTTTGACCATCGATAAACATGACTATCTTTATGTTGTCGATTGGGGAAACGATCGCGTAAGACGATTTTCTATTAAACAATGTCATTATGATGGTTAATATTTGTTTTTCTCTTTCTGTTCAATAAATTACGTTGAACGAAAATTACTAACTGTTCTATTGTACGTGTACAGCCAGGAACTATCATAATGACGATTCCATGATGATTGAAGGCCATGTATACAGCAGACAAACTGAAACAATAGTATCGAATCAAGAATTTAAATTCAATTCAATAATTACTCTTCATGTTTCAATTTTTAATTATCTATATATAATATCAGAATATTTTCTTCATATTCTCAAAAATTATAGAGACTCTATCAACTTTTGTATAAAGTTGCCCTTCATTCAATCGTTATGTCAACCTCAAAGTTTGTGAATGGCTCTAGCAGGCATTTTCACGTAGAGAGATTGCATCTGTTTGTTCTTGTGGCACCCACATATTCAAATTTCAAAGGTCTGGTATATATTCATGGTGGTGAGTAGAAGATAGAGTGATATGCTCGAGTTGAATTCTTTTCTTTCTTACAATTTTCTCTCTGTAAGTATGCATTGTTATTTTTAAGATGATTCTCACATGTTATGATGGCTCCCCCAAGAGACTTACTTCGTTTTAATTATAAATCAATAATCTCTAGCAAATGTTGACGTATCTACGTCATTACATGTGTTCGACAAGTAATCATCATTCAACGTTGGCTTACTTCAAACAAGTGTGTCTTTTTAATTTCTTCTCTTTCAATTGACGCCATGGTAAAAGTACTAATGAAGGCATTGCGACAGTAATGGCTATAAAATATTTAAGAGCTTTTTTTTGAAAAATCATCATCAATAATCTACACGACAAACATTTCCTAGCAATGAATTACAGTTAATAAACCTTTTTTTATCAAATAAATCCATTTGAAGATAGTCACTCTCCATTTACTTGGTTTGTCTTCAATATGTTCATGAAAAATTATTTCATATTGATAGATAATTATGAAAATGAAAATGGAATTGTTTCAATGTTTAGCATATCGCTTTCTTAAAATACGCTAAGCAAAGAATACTAACAGGATACTTGTATTTAATAATTCATTGAGTGATATACGATTTATAACCAGGCATACAGAAGAGGCGTTTTGCTTCCATCAGAGAAAATCATATTTGACAAGATGATGATGATGATGCTATTTTCATCGGAAAGAACTAATGGGAGTTTTGATTTTAATGATTGGACTGTTATTGACATATCTGAGCGCTTCTAGCAGACATTTACATTGGATTTTATCTGAAGCCGTCATAGAAAAGATATATAAATAGAGAGTGTAAAACTAGGTGGTGAAAGTGTATTGAAATAAATTTATTGCAATTGAAGAAAAACTGGGTAACTGCTTGTTCAATTCAACAATCGACAACAATGTTAGTCTTTGAAGTAGCTCTGCAAATCAAATTTTGGAGTCCAATCATCTTTTTCTCAATCGGAGCTCCAGCAGCGTGCCTCAATGCAATAATATTCATCAGTGTGAAAGCATTTCGTCGATCTCCATCGACTTATTATGTTGTGGGACAATCAGTAGCTGATGTCAATGTTTTGCTGATCGTCCTTTTTCAAATTATTCCATTCACATCAATGTCGGTTTCATCTATTGCTTGTAAGTTAATGGCCTTTTTTGTTCAAATGACAACCACTGTTGCAATGAGTTTTCTTTGTT